GTAACCTAACCTACAAACTAGAAGTAAATAATAGTAAATTAATAAACTAACTAAGTAATTTAATTTTAAAGTTAACTAACCTAACGGTATACATATGTGTATATATATATATATATATATATATATAACAGAACAATCCCCCCCCCCAAAAAAAATGGGACATTTGTAAATTCATGGACTTGCAATGTTAAAATCTAGGGTTCAATTTCACATGTTGGGCACAACAGAGAGCCCAATGTGACTTTGCTCTAAAACAAATACATACACAATTTCAAAAATACAACAGTCAGAAACTCACAATTTTAACTTAAAACTATACTACAAAAGTTATATTTTGAATTAGCAATAAATGTATAAATAGATGAGATTCAGAATTAGGCACATTTTATCATGGATTGTCAATGATTAAGAAAATAAAATCAATGTTGTGTGCAAAAGCAATTATAACTTTCTTGGATTCGGCAATGAAATACTACACAAATGTCTCTTGTTCAGTACTAATTTTCTGAGTTAATGTCATTTTATTTATAATTATCAGGGCCCCCCGAGTTTTTCCAGGTCCAGTGGTAATCATGTACATATGGGCCCCCCATAAATAATATCAGTTAACTATAAAATGCAACTTTCCGAAAAGCCTTTTTCATGGCAAAGTTTTTAATGCACTCTGAAAAACTCAATTTGTACGGGCCCCCTGACGACCCCGGGGGTAATCCCCTCGTTACCCCCCTATATTATAGGCGGTCCTGATAATTATAAAACTTAAAAGTGTTGAATATAAACAAATAAAGAATTAATGACTTGTGAAAAGGATAATAATATGTAAGGTATTTCTAAACTGGAAACTAACAGCAATAACACTTAGTACTATTACTACTATTAATAGTAGTAAGTGTTATTAATAGTAGTACTATTACTAGTATTAATAACACTAAATAGTAAGCTTACTAGTAGTACTAAGTCAGTAAGTGTAATATTTAATGTTACTGTATTACTTATTAGGCTTAGCAATAACAAACTAAATTAACTTTGAGTTATGCTGTTTAAATAACATGGAATACTTACGAATAAACTTTCCGTTGAAACAAATAGTCAGATTAATAAAGTTAGCAAAAACTTGAAAAAGAAGGGAAAGAGAACACTAACTCAAAATTAGTTAGGGATAAAACTTGTACAGGAGATACAATTTACCACATCATCACTCATATTTAGCTTTACTTTATTATTTATACGATGACCGATTGCAAACTGTTTTCTTTAAATTTAATACTACTTAAAATAAATTCAACAAAACGCAGCCCTAACTCTAGTAACACGCACATAAATTTACGTACCCGAGTTCACTATTTTTTCTCGAAAATAAAAAAAAAAGAAAAGAAACTTGGAGCACTTATAATCTCAACCTTTATCAATACTTCACTACTAGTACTACTACTACTAGACATCAGCAAAAAACGACTCTACGCCACAGAATTAGGAGATGGCAAAGTTTGAAGAAATTATTCTACGAGTCAAAGAGGCAACTTTATTTTGTTGTTCAAATCATTATGCATAAAACTATGCAAATGGGCTTTCTGTGCTAAACCCACCACAGGTATTGAAACCCGATTTTAAGCATTATAAACCTGTGACACAAGCGAGTTCCTAGGAGGTGTAGTACAAAAGAAGTTATGTTTGCTTAAAGTTAAGCACAAACCTACACAAAGAGCTATCTGTGCTCTACCCACCACGGGTATCGAAACCCGGTTTCTAGCGTTGTAATTCTGCAAACATACCGCTGTGCCACTGGGGAACAAAGAAGTTAATCATAACTTGTACACAAATGACATATGCATAACTGATAACTCACAAGAAAACCATTTGAAAGCACTGCAGTATCTCTCTCTGTTGAAAAACAGCACAATTTTTGTTACAGATTGTGACAGGGGGAGGGGGGGGCAACTGCCCAGAGACCCGGGTAAATAAAACCTGGTTATGCCGTAAAGCATCTTTAGACTATATCTTCTTTTAATGATAAAAACCATGGTTTTTGGCTTTTCTTTGAATATAGACGCTTGATAAATTAAGAACGACTGAAATAATAATTTGAGTAATAATTAATATGTATTTGTTACTTTACAGATTTAATAGATATTTGTTGTTACTTTATTAACGTTTTTACGCTTATACTGTGAGATAAAAACGGCTGCTGCTATGATTTTGTCTGGTTTATGAGCTCCTTGCTGTCCTAATATAGGATCTTCCTTTAATAAATTCTTGAAAATGTTAAAAAAGAGAGAGAAAGTGGGCCCGGCGAGGATGTTTGCCCCGGGGCACGTGCTGGCTCTCGACATTCCTGATGACTAGGAATTGACTTTGAGGCTAATAAAGTTTGGAGATAGCTTTAATGGGTAATGAAGACATTTTCATCACATGTTTAACGAAGTAACATAGACTTTCACATACATTTTTCCAGGGGGGCAAGTATTGTGTGATTTTGAGAAGTGAATAAAAACTTTTAAATTCATATACATAAGCTGAATGAATAAAGAAAGAATTACGTTTCTCATTTTCACATGATAGTGACTAATGTATAACGTTTAGAAAAGGTTTCGTCGTCATTGAAACTTTGTACATTTGGTCCTACGTCAAACTTGTAATAAAGTTGTTTTCAGTACCCTTTCAAGCCATATCCAAACTTTATTAAACATTTTTATATAGTAGTTACAATTAACCTCTTGTTACGACAGCGGAAGTCACGCGACCCTGGAAGCATGCGCGCTGGAGTTTCTAGAAGGATCATGATTTTTCCTGGCAACTCTAGTCTGTTCCAGGCGCCCTCTATTTTAGTATATAAGCCCGGCAAATAATTGCAGATAGAGAGATATATACAGAAAGATAATTGAGTCAAGCGAGCGGTAGTGACGGTAACATAAAGTGTGTGTTTTGTTATCGAGATTGCAAACGTATTGACTGTGGAAATTCTGTGTATTGCAAAGTTGTATCGAGAAAGAATAAACTAGTTTTAATTAAGAAAGGACTTGTATTGCTGAAGTTTCTCTGTAAGAATTTCTACGGGAAATTAACAAACAAGCAGATACGTAACACTCTGATTGAAGCAAATTAGGCGAAATTGAAATTCAGCTATAGCCAATTAAATATAATTTCTTACATTTATTATTTAAATGTAAGCACAAAACTACACAAAGGCTATTTGTATTCTGCCTATTGAAGACCAGAGTTTTCGCTGAGCCACCAGGCGAGGGATTTGTTGTTTAGGTAAAACGTACAAAGCACATACTTATCCTATCCATTATTAGTGGGTACAATTTAATGTGATATAGGAATAAACCACAACTTTCTTCTTTCTGTGTTATTAGTATTTATTCTAAATTCATTCTTTGTTCTGTGTATATGCAAGTTTTTCATGAACACATGGAAAAGGATGTCAAGAGCAATGTCCTCCACTTATTGTATAGTGTATAGGTAATACCTAGAGATCACGGCCCATCAAATATAGAATTAGAATGACCAGTCACAGAATAATGCAACCATTCTAGATAAATGCAAGATTTTGATTTAAATAAGAACCTGTCACTTAGCTAGCTGGCACAGGACCCTGAAGAAAAAACATCTAAGGAAAGCGATTGACTAAAATATTTTTTGTTTGTTTTGAATTTCGCGCAAAGCTACACGAGAGCTATCTACGCTAGTCGTTCCTAAGTTAGCAGTAAAAGACTAGAGAGGAGGCAGCATGTCATCATCACCCACCGCCTACTCTTGAGCTACTCTTTTACCAACAAATAGTGGGATTGACGGTTCCATTATAATGCTCCCACGGCTGAGAGGGCGAGCATGTTTGTTGGGAGAAGGAGATTTGAACCCGCGACCCTCAGATTGCGAGTCAAGAGAAGCTAAATAGTTCGTGGTGGGTGGTAATAACTAGCTGCCTTCCCTCTGGCCTTTCACTTGGTGCGAAATTCAAAACAAACAAAATTTTAGTCAATTGCATTAATAAGGGTACGATATAAATATGAGTAATCACTGATGATTGAGTTCATTTACTGGAATATTCAATGAGTGAGATATTCAGATTAGTGTTTTCAAACAAGACCTAAAATTCAAGCGTTTTTGAATAGTCGACTATTCTTCTTCAGGAGAATAAAGGATTATGTTTAATGAGTGTAATGAAATACATAGGCACTGATGTGGACGTCACGTAAACCGGATATTCAATATGAGTTGTTTGTGTCAGGTTTAGTTTGCCTTCCAAAGAGATGTGTAAAGTACATAGAAGACTTAAGTGAGATAATATTTATAAGAATTGTTAATTAATTTCTATAAAGATAAAATTAAAAAAAATAATGTTAAAAGGTGGTTGGAAATAGAGAAAATAATAATGTGACGCAACATATAGGAAATAATACCAATATAGAGTAATTTAAGTAAGAATAATACTAATAAATGTAAAGTAAGTTTAATTATGAATGTAGTTTTGAAAATCTTTTCTGAGATTTGCGAAGGTCAACAATGCCCGGATCGAGATTGATGCCATTTGGCGTTAAGTATTTAACAGTGCTATCCAGTAAGCTTCTTTAATTTCCCTGTTTCTGTTTGTTTGTTTGTAATCAAGCACAAAGCCAAACAATGGGCTATCTGTGTTATGCTCACCACGGGTATCGAAACCCGGATTCTAGCGTTGTAAGTCCGCAGACATACTGCTGTGACACTGGGGAGGGGGGATCTGTTTCTGTTAGATGTACAATTTGTTTCTATACCTGCCAGTTTAATGTTTTCAAAAAAGTGTCCAGGCATGTTAAAGTGTTTTGCGACCAAACGTTATTTGTTTGTTTTGATTGTTGATTTGTGGTTATTAAAACGTTCCCCTATGGTAGTTTTTGGTTTGACCTACAAACTGGAAGTTGCATTTTCGACATTGGAAAATTTGTCCCTTTCCTGCATGAACTTACAGGTTTGGCATCGCTTGCTATTACAAGAATGACTTCCACCTGGTGTCGACTTAAAGTTTACTTTAGCGTGAACTAAGTGTGAATGCAAAGTTTTATTTTTTCCGTAAAAATGGATTTCAGTCGATCGTTAAGTTGAAGGAGGTAAAAATGTTTCTTTAGTATCCGGGATAGGTTTTTAGTTTTGGGTGATTGGTAATGACCAGTGGAACACGAGAAGTATTAGTTTTAGATAATTGTTTCAAGGCAGATGTGTCAAGTTGTTGGGTGATAGTGTTTTGTTTATAACCTCTTTCAGTCATAAGCTGTTTCGAAGAATTCATGTGATGGTCATAGTTCTTACTGTCAGAGCATATCTTCTTTAATCTAAGTGTTTGATTGAATGTGATTTTCTGTTTGGTGTGTAGAGAGTGACAGCTTTCATTATGTGAATATTGTGGTTTATCCGTTGGTTTTCGGTACAAATCGGTATGTAGAACACCATCTTTTAATGTTAGGTTTTCATCCAAGAAACTTATGTGGGTAGTGGAGTAGTCTAGAGTAAATTTAATAGAATGTGTTAGCATATCTATAAAAGGACAGTAATGAATTTTCGTCTCATACTCAAATTAAAAAATGTCATCAATTTAGCGTCTCTAAAACGTTGGTTTGTCTATGCAACTTCCAACAGTTTCGTCTCTAAGTCTCCTATAAAAATGTTGGCATAGTTTGGTACCATCTTGGTGCCCATAGCCGTACATTTTGTTTGAATATAGAATTCATTATTAAATTCAAAACCTAATATTTTAGGCTTTTAGGCCATCGTCATGGGGAATGTTTGTGTAGAGAGAATAAACATCCATAGTATAGAAAATAGTGCTTGGAGGAAATTTTCCGTTGCTGTTAATGTCAGTGATCGTGTTCAGAAAATGTGTTGTGTCTTTAATGTACGAAGTCAAACGTGGGGGGATATCTCTGATGTGGTGATCAACATAAGCAGATAAGTTTCTGTAGGCATACTGCAATTATAAATAATAGGACGACCAGGATTGTTGGGTTTGTTTATTTTTGGTAACTGGAACTGGGTGTTTAGGTGAAAGGAACTGTAACATTTCACGACTGGTGTGTTGGCTTTTCTGTAAACTACATAGAATATCTTCGATGATTTTATCAAACTGCGGTGTAGGGTCCAAATCTACCTTTTTATAGTGGTTTGTGTCATTAAATTGTCGGTAAGCTTCGTTGATATAGTCGGATTTATCTTGGATGACACTGGCACCGCTCTTATTAGCCGGTTTAATAATGATTTCATTTTCGTGTTTCAGTGAAATTAGAGCAGTATGTTCACTATAGGAGAGATTGTTTCGTACTTTTGAGTCAGAGTTTGTGGTTTTAATTCGTTTTCAATTTCAGCAATAAAACTCTCTAGATTCGAGAATTTTTTCCCAATCAAACCACTGACTGAAATAATTTCGACTTACACTTTAAAGAAAAATCCTTATGGTCACCCCTAGTCAATAAGAAATCACATGTTTGCTTGCATGTATAGTTAATGATAAAATAATTGGCTTTGAAAGAATATCACTTTAGTCTTGTTATTATTGTGTATAGTCAAGGCTTGTCCCACTTAGGTATTATGCTATTCTCTCATGGACAGCGTCACAGAAGATGTCCTTAGACTTCAATTAACAGGTTATCGTGTAGAAAAAGTCATGTAATGGTTATAGGTTACCAGTAAACCATGGTCTTGCTATTTTTAATTTGTGGGACGGTCAAATGATGTGGGGGATACATGCACTCTGGGAGAATTGACTCTATTTGCTATGTGTATAGCAGTTGATTTTTCTAACCTTATTCAGATTTTCATTATATTGAGATAGATTTTTTTTCACGTTAGGAACTCTTACCAATATCAAAAGAATAGTGATGCTTTCCAACAAATGCACATACACCTGGTGAATTGTGTTTTTGTTTGT